GGAGTCTGGAAAAATGATGTGATTAGAAGTTTGAGATGGAAGAATGCCAATGTACTTGCTTTGAATGTTGAAAACAGGCAGGATAGCTAAACTGGCAAAAATCTGAATTGTGCGTGTTTCTAAGAGGGCTGCCTCCTTTGTAAGAGTTTTAATTGCCTCTAGTCCAACAAAAGAGGGACCACCATCTCTATCTTTCAAAAGTATTCTTTTTCTTTTATTGCAATGTTATATTCCATCAAGGATTACTAATTTATTCTCTGTGGAGCCGTATAGGACTCATTGAGTGCTATGTAACATTATCAGTGTGTGGGAGACTATACATTATATACATTTTCAGCATGCTTTTACTTCAGATTTGTTTGATTTTATAAGTGCCAAGAATAAAAACAGATGTTATGTTATTCAATGTTTGGATATCGAACCCTATCCCAATATAACTTATATCTCCCTGAAGGCATGTGGATAATCTAGTAGGTTTAGGGATGGATGAAGAGGCCAGAAAATGCTTGGCTTCAGGGTTTTTATTCATTTTTCCTAAATGCTTGACATTAAATATGAATCAAATCTAGGCTTCAAAAATATAGCCAAGTTTAGGATTCAACTTTGCACAAAAACCCAAGTCAAGGTTGATCTGAAATATCAGTAACTCTTAGAGCAAGTTTATGTAGGAACGTTTCCACTAAAATCCCAAAAGCAAGTTAAGCATGCATAAATACTGCCTAAGCAATTGAGGCTCAATCCCTTTTGATCCATAGGCTTGGTAAAAGCAGTAATTGAAATTTGTTCCAAGGCTGAAGTTATGTTATGGGCACGTCTCATTTCCCATTGCTCAATTCAACATAAAATTATAAAATGTAGCACAAACAACCACTTGTTGTTAGGGAATTAGGATCAGGTAACAAGGTTGCAACCACAAATACATTACACTACATGTACTATGCTCTTTCCAGTCTATACTTCTTGAATAGAAAACATGGACGTATGGATGGTTTTAAGGAAAGAAACATCAAATTTGTGTGTGATGCAGCAGTAATACCACTAAAGAGACCCAATACATATTTAGGAGGAAAAATTCCTCTTGTTCACACTTGGTATTTCAGATTAAACACAATAAAGTTACAAATGTAAGAGTTACGTAAGAGAAAAACAATCAAAATTCAAAAACAATACCAGCAACCAAGGGAAAAACCATTGAACACCAAAGAAATTAAGTTCATTTATGATGAAAAGTTCTACATTTGAGGGTACCTTTGATCTTTTTTAAAAGCTGAGGGACATACATAATAGAGGTGCATAAAGTACAGTAAGTTGTGGAGAAAGATAACAGGGAAAAGCTCCTTTTCTTCACAAAGTGCATAGTTAAGTATCGGATTTTTCCATAGGTGATCCAGGCCAGCTTTATCTTCCTAAAGTGGCCAATAAAATGTTTCTGGAAAGTGCACAAGCAGGTTAGGAGTGCAATCTCCTGCCATTCTCTTCTTCAATGATTAGGATAAAGTGGGATCTTCTCACAATACTAGAGATAAAGTACTGATGTCACAACTACGAGCCATTCCAGGAGCAATTGTCATGAACATATTTAACGCACATGCCCCTTTAACCGTTCCTACTATCACCTCTTGAAATGGCAAATTCCATAGTTGAAATAAGTACTGTATGAAGTAGCACTTCCTTGTCTATCCTGAGTTTTCCACCATTCCATTTCCCTGGTGGTTTAGAGTCCTAATATAATGGAAAGTGCAAAACATCTCCTTACCTAATATCTTCCTCGGCATTAATACCATACTGTAATTGCTTGTAGCTATTTCATGAATTCTTGCTCAACTTTTTTTTTTCTAAACTACAAAACCTTAAAAGTTGTACATATACTATATTGCTCTTTTCCAGTGTTTCTCAACCTTGGCCACTTTAAGATGGGCAGATACTTAACTCCTAGAATTCCCCATCTACAAGGAGACCTAGTTTGATTTGATGCTTAAGACTGCCGAGTTCTAGTTCTAGTCCCACTTTAGCCATGAGAGCCAGCTGGGTGACCTTCGGCCAGTCCACTGTCTCTCAGCCCAACTCAAGGTTGTTGCTGTGGGGGAAAATAGGAGGAGGAAGGTGTGCTGGATATGTTTGTGGCCTTGAGTCATTTGTAAAAATAATAAAGATGGGATATAAATAAGTATATAAATTTTTTTAAAAAAATTAAAAATTCTGCTGGAGCCTTCAAAGGGAATTCTGGGAGTTGAACCGCGCCTATCTTAAAGTGGCCAAGGTTGAAAAATATTGTTCTATTTCCTTGAACGTATTCACTCTCCTTTGTCATGCTCCTGTCGGAGTCTGAATCCAAGGAGGAAGACGAGCAGCTGACAGGGAGTGAGCGTGTGGCTACGTTGGCTGGGGAAGGGCAAAGCCTGGCTGGGCAGAGCAGGGAAGAGGTAGAACAAGGGGAGGGAGTTCAGAGGAAGACCCAGGCCCACCCTTTCTTCATCCTAGGGCATGCAGGGAGGAACAGAGAAGAGAGCAATGTGGGTTGAGTGGCTTCCGGGGAAGAAAGGGCCCTGATTCCCTTCATTAGTCACAGCTGGGAAGAGAGTTTAAAAGAAATGCATGCTGAGTGCGGCAGCTTCTGGGAGCAAATGTGAGTTCTTTTGTTGACTTTGCTCATCTGTGTTCCTGGCGTCTTCCCAACTGTGTTGAGTTATTGTCATGCCTTCATGTTTGGAATTCTTGCTCCTGTCCCGTTGGACTAATTACCTCATTTAGCCTTGATTGGACTTATAGTTAGTTTTTGATGACCACGTTTTGGACTTGATTCTCTGCAGCCAAAAGCTGTTCCTTTCTCCAGCCAAAAGGTAACCAGGACATCGGAGGCAAAGTTGGAGCTAATAAAGGGACTCCTGCTGATTATCTGACTGTGTTGCCCTTGTGCCATGCCCTGGGTCATCACATACTTATTGGCCCTCTTGTCATCAACAGTCTCCAAAGCCAAGTGCTCCAGTAATGTACAAGTGTTCACTGATCTCCAGAAAACTGGTTGGCTGGTTGAAAGTAAATTAAAACCTCCAGATTTGGAGGTTTTAATTTACTTTGTAACTGTAGGGTAGCTTTTCCCAGTGTGCAGGGTTGTTGTTATTGTTTGCTTTTGTTTTTATTTCTGGGATCCTTAGATCAGGAATAGGCCATCCAGTGCCTTTCAGATATTCTGGACTTCAGTTCTCAGGCTTCCCAGCACAGCCAACCACTAGAGATTAAGAGAGATGTAGCCAAACATCTGGAGTGCACTACTAAAATCTACTTTATCCCCTATTTTGAATTATGGAACTGTCTCCTTTTCTAGGGTTACTGGAAAAATTCCCAAATTAAAGCTGAAATTAAAAACCCACACAACCTCTTAATAGGAGTAAAGAGTTCATTTTGAGTTTTTATGCTGATGTTTATGCTTTTATTTTTCTTCATAAAATTATGCTCAAGATTATGCTAAATAAGATGGGCAGCTATATAAACCTTTTAAATACACTTTTTTCTATACTGCTTCGCTGCCATCCACTGTCCATCCATATTCTTACATCCTGATCTGGTAGTGAACCCAGAAATGAAGCTTATTGCTACAAATTCAAACTGTATGGCTTTTGGTCATTTAACCAGGGTTTGGTCAGGGTCACTCACACCCTGGTCACTTCCCATTTGGATTACTGCCATGTACTCTACAAGGGGCTATCCTTGATAATTACCTAGGAACTACAATTGGTCCGTTCTCCCTCAACATTTTATAACCACCAAGTTATTATAAAAACATGAAGCTTCTCCATTCAGGATTGGTTCTTTTTTGGTCGGTTTATTTTATTACACAACAGATGGATGTTAGATCCAATACACAGTATAGTGCTGTCCGAAATCTATCTTGTGTAACAGGGCCAACACTGTTTGAAAGATATTTGAAGTCATGATTCAGACATACCCAAACACAAGACCTCTTGTATGCCATAAAAGCAACCCAATATTTTAAAGCAGGTGTGTCCAGCCTTGGCAACTTTAAGACTTGTGGACTTCAACTCCCAGAACTCCACAGCCATGCTTTAACTTTAAACTCACAACTTTTAACAAGCACCAGTTAGCAAGGTTGGACACACGTTGTAAAGGTTTCTGTTGGAGCCTTAGAAAGCTGCTACTGCTTTAAGGACTCATTAACGTTAAGACAAGCTTTAAAGCACCAGGTCTATTTTTTTAGGCTTGCACAGAAGCTTGAAAAAGGATAGGTTCCTTTAATTAGGGAGGTGCTTGTGCATGGTTCAAAGCTTGCTTCTAAGTCATTTTCTAAGTATTCGACAGAGCAAAACCACAAAGTGAAAGTCCTGTTGCATAATATAAATTAGTTGATGATGGAATGAGAGATCTGAGTTTTGTTAATAGTTTACCAGTCTCCAGCTGAAAGAAGTATGCTAGAAGGTGAAGGGAAAGTCTACTGCTTAAGACCTAGAATAAAAAGAGCCTCCCACCCCTTGGAGCAGAATAATTTCTAATGTAATGTGTGTGTATGCAATGTGCCTGCGTAACAAATGAATCCTAAAGCTGTTTAAGGACTCATAATTTCAGGTGGTGAAGTCATTCCATCATATATAACAGGGGTCCCCAAACTTTAAGACTTGTGGACTTCCAACTCCCAGAATTCTCCAGCCAGCTACACTTGTGGACTTCAACTCCCAGAATTCTCCAGCCAGCTATGCTTGTGGACTTCAACTCCCAGAATTCCCCAGCCAGCTACTCTTGTGGACTTCAACTCCCAGAATTCTCCAGCCAGCTACGCTTGTGGACTTCAACTCCCAGAATTCCCCAGCCAGCTACTCTTGTGGACTTCAACTCCCAGAATTCCCCAGCCAGCTACGCTTGTGGACTTCAACTCCCAGAATTCTCCAGCCAGCTACGCTTGTGGACTTCAACTCCCAGATTCTGAGAGTTGAAGTCCACAAATCTTAAAGTTGCCAAGTTTAGGGACCCCAGTTCTATACCATATTGAACTTCACATCCTTGGGAATGGAATTAGTGAACAGCTTTGGTTTCTTGTACTGCTTAAATTCCAAATATTCTCAAGTCGGTTAGAAACGGGAGTTTAGATACGCGGAAGGCTCCAATCTACCGGTTTAACCCTTCGGCCAACAGCTACCCCTAGTGGCTCTGTTGCGGGAAGCAACTTATCTTGCGCATACAAACCTCGCCGCCGGTTTCGCCGCGGTTAACAGGTTTAACCAGCGAGGTAACTCCGAGACGAGGTCACCAACTAAGCGTTAACTCCTTTGGTTCCGGATAACGAGCGGCTATCCTTCCACGACCACGTGAACGACGTACCAGAACCCGAAGGCCAAAAGGAAAGGCCTCCGTTTCCCAAAGCGGAGAAAGACCGAACCAGGTAGCTTTTGGGTTTGGGTTTTTGAACCGATCAGCCATCGCTTCTCGCGCCTCTCCGCTGGCAAAGGGAGGGCGGGCGGGCGGGGGAGGCAACCCTTGACTGGAAGGTGGAGACCGAGTCGGCACTTCCGAGACTTAGGAACCAAGTTTGACGCGCTGCTCCCTGTGAGAATTTTGCTTTCTGAGGCGTTTGCGTGCACGGGGGGAGGGGGGGAGACTTTTTTGGAAGAATTTGATTTCGGCCTCGCTTTCCACCCAGGGTGGGGGGGGGGGGGGGGGGGGTTGGCGAGCGCGGGAAAAGAGAAGGGGTGGCAAGAAAGGGGTGCCCGAAGGTGCTTGGGAAGGGGAGTCCGGTATTGGTAGGCGCGGGAGCCAGTCCTCGTCCCGAGCGTTTCATTGATTACCTTCGCTCGCTCCCTACGTTTACACCCAAGTGAGCAATGTTGGAGGAGGAGGAGAAGGGCGCCTGTTGCGTCGATTATTCCCGGCACGCCCGACCGCCCGGGAAAAGACCCGGACATGCCCTAAAGCTGCCTTGGCCTGAAAGCGGCCGTTCCTTGCGCCGTGGCACGTCCCCCCACCCAGCCCCCGTCCTTGCAAAGCCGGGTTGGGTCTGGCTCGCTTGCGCGTTCCCTCGGTCCACTCCCACCCCCCACCCCACCCCGAGCCTCCTTCCCTTTCTCTTGGCCAGTATATTTTTAGGTCATTGGAGTGGAGGGGTAGGTAATCCCCGGGCTCAGGTTCCAAAGGAGGCGGGTTCCGACCGGAGGTGGAGTCACTTTTTCATTTAAATCCCCGACTATAAAATGGGTTTAAGGAGCAGCGGGATCTCATCAGCTGAGGCGCCCAGAGGAGCTGTGGGAGTGAGCGGCGGCGGCGGGGGAGGCGAGCGGGAGGCTCGGGACCACAGCGTGGGTGCCCAGCAGAGCTGCCACTCCTGCCGCGGCGATGCTACACTCCGTGGGCGCCCAAACCTTGCAAGCGCTCAGCCAGGTGGCCGCCTGCGTGCTCCTCGTGCCCCGCTTCCTGCTGACCGCTGTGATGCTCTGGCTCCTGGATTTTCTCTGCATCCGGAAGAAACTCTTGCTGCCCGCGGCGGCGGCGGCACCTGGTGAGGAGCAAGAGTTGGCGGCCGAGGACGCCGACTCGAGCGACGGGACCTGCCCGCCGGACGACCCTCCGCTCTGCGTGTCCGACTCGAACCGCATGTTCACCCTGGAGTCGCTTAAAGCCGTGTGGCACGGGCAGAAACTGGACTTTTTCAAGGCGGCGCACGTCGGCGCGACGGCGCCCAACCCGGAGGTCGTCCAGCTGGACGGGCGCACGCGGCTGCGCATCCTGGACTACGCCCGGGGCAAGAGGCCGCTGATCCTCAACTTCGGCAGCTGCACCTGACCGCCCTTCATGGCGCGCCTGCGTGCCTTCGAGCGCCTGGCCACGCGCTTTGTGGACATCGCCGACTTCTTGCTGGTCTACATCGAGGAGGCTCACCCTTCCGACGGCTGGGTCAGCTCGGACGCCGCCTACGCCATCCCCAAGCACCAGTGCTTGCAGGACCGGCTGCGCGCAGCTCAGCTGATGAAGGAAGGCGCGCCGGGCTGCCCGCTGGCCGTGGACACCATGGACAACGCCTCGAGTGCCGCCTACGGGGCGTACTTCGAGCGCATCTACATTATCCAGGAGCGGAAGGTGATGTACCAGGGCGGCCGGGGCCCCGAGGGCTACAAGATCTCCGAACTCAGGCGCTGGCTCGACCAGTACAAGAGCAGCCTCCGGGCCGGGCCCAGCACCGTCATAGTCCAGGTGTAAGGAAGACTCTCCTCCGGCGGAGGGAAAAGTGGACGGGAAGGAAAGAGGCAGCTCGAACGGCTTGGCTCTTCTTTCCCGCCCCTTTCCCTAACTCCCGAGAGGCGCTGTGTGAGTTTTCATGCGAGATGTTATTCAAATCATGTTGATTTGCCGAGCATTTGTTGCTGACATCCATTTCCACGTGCAGTTTTGTTTCCCTTTATTTCCTGATTGCGTGCGTGAACGAACCGATCTCTCTCTCTCTCTCTCTTGCGCGGGGGGGGGGGGGGAGAAACGCGCTTCTTTGGAGGGCCTGTTGCTGAGTGTGCGTGCACGTGCGGGCTTCGGGTGTACGTGTGCGCGGGTGTTTCCGATGGGAACGGGCTTCTGCCGTGCACGTGTGTCTGTCGGAGAGAAGTTTCGCGTGCCCAAGCGGTGCGTGTTCTCTCTTTATTTTTACTCTCCGCTGTCCTAGCAAAAACCTTGGCTGGGAGGTCTAGCGTTTCGTTATGATGACCGGTTTCGAAATGGTTTTGGAGCGCCAGGAAACCGAGTCTGAAATTGGGAGATGCTAGAATTGCCAGTTTTTTTGTTTTTGAGGAAAGCAAAACAAAACAAAAAAGGCCAAAAATATAATTTAAAAAAACACCCCACAAAAGTCTATTTATGTGATTTCTGAGCTGGTGGTATGTTGAGCTTCTTTTCTCTTTTTTTGTAAAATACCTGTTTTTTATGAGCTTTTTATAACATTATTAATAAAGATGATTGAATAAAGTATGCCTCATTTGGATCTTTCTAACCGAAAAGGTGGGGAGGGGGAAATGAAGGCTCCAGAGGTGCTGTAACTTTCTCAGCTGGGTTTAATGAGGGTCACAAAAGGTTGGGAGAAATAGCAGGGGAGGGATCTACCTTGACAAAACGTTGTTTACACTACTGTATATTTCGTGTGAACTGGTGGCCACTTGTAAAGGAATGCTTTGAGGAACATTTCTAGCTCAGACCTTCGATTTGGGAAAGTTGCTCCCAAACAGTGTGATCAGGAGCCACTTGTAAGCAAAGGAGGAGATGTCTTGATGGATGTGAAGGGTGTTCAATGGTTGACTTTTGTGGGGGGACACAACTGGTAGATCTGGCTTTAACAGCCTCCTCCGGTTTGCCTTTTGATAAAGTCCAGGGTTTTGACTTAACAGCTCTACGGAAGATTAATTGCCAGCCCCCCAATTGGGAAATATGCAGGTGTATCCACCTCCAAAGAAAGAATACAAAGATACGGTGGGAGAGACAACTTTATTTTGTGACATGAACGGGTTTGCCCGTTGTGCTAAACCATTGCTTATTTTAACCATAGTTTCTTAACTCAAGTAAGCACTTGCTGGATTTAGTCAGCATCCCGAGTCATATAAACAATGGGTAACAAATCACAGTCAGTTTACACCTAAACCAAACAATGGTTTATTTTATGAGACTTAACCACTGTTTTATGAAGTCTGCAGGGGCTGAAAAATGAAATAGGGTCCCAAAAATGTTCTCCCTCCCCATTCAAGGAAAATTTATGCAGCTACCGTGGAACTCTGCAATCACTGTGCATTTGAAGGCCACTTATCATGCAACATACAGGTCGAGGTGCCAAGTCTAGAAATTACACGCCTCTCTTCTATAAAAATTGTTTATTTTTAAGGCATTTGTGGGGGACAGAGATTACTAGGGCTTGGTCCTATCATCCTATACCGAATATGTAGATGTGTAAAGAAGGAGCCAAAACTATCCCCATACGCAACAATGTTGGGTATATTTGTTAAGGGAAAGGACTGTGGTCTATAAATCATTTGAACTTGCTAGGTGGGCTGAGCAAGAGGAATAGTTGGATTCCCAGACAATACCTCTAAATATCTCTGGGCTATTTTTACCCCCCCCCCCTCACCCCCAGAGAACTACACACATCCTGTAATCCTTGAGGCTTTGGTTACATCACACCTTATCAGCATATTGTCTTTTGTGGTTACTGATGAACAGTTACCTGCTCCACAGATTTCTGGTCCTAACATGAGTAATCTTTCGGGGAGGGAATGAATAAAAGTGTTGTGAAAAGGCAGTTGGCTTAAGTTAAGACTTATGGAAGAAAACTTATGCCAAGAGATAGGAAAGGATGTTTCCAATCTCATTTAGGAGCAGTTGCACTGCTTGTAAGATTTCTCTGTTACAACCCTTTGCCTGCACAGCTATGGTTTGGATAGGTTTCTGCTCTTATGCCACCCAACTTCAAATGCAGTTTCAAGTAAAAACAATACGTTGTATTGTAGCAGGGAATTGCGCAGCATATGTCTTAGCTCACATTGCACATAGAGGGATGGTCAGCAGATACTAAAGTATTTTAGAAGAGGGAAAGAATAAAAAATTAAAATATTCTTACCTGTTATCCCCACAAAGGATTGCCTGCTGTGATATACACAAAACCTTTAAAAATGCCTAGCAGCTTTCCACTTTTCTAGATCTCTTATGTCAATTCTGATCATTATTAGTTTTATTAATATGGGAAATTTACTTGCTTTATTATAATTTTCCATATCCCGTGCGGAAAAAAAACTGCTTTACTCCAAGCAACATGACCTTAATAAATCTGGGCAGCCAACTGCTTGCAGCTGGGCTAAGAGCTATTATCAGTACTTGTTTCACTATTCTCTTCAGAGTAGTTTGTTTACTTGAATTGAGCAAAGAGGTATTACTCAAGCCCAAGTGCTAATTTATGTATTATTTGTAATTATTGTATAGTTAGACCTTATAGAATAAAGAATACCAGTCAACTACAGACCACCAACAGAACTGCAATGTTTGAACATGTAAGCTATAATCCAAAACTCACATTTCTAAACATAGTGGTAGGTTACATGGCTTTTGAGTCACCCTGAATTCTCATACGACTGCTGGCTAGCCATTTCAGAAATCGGGTTATAGCCTGAAAAGATTGAGGTAGAATCTTCCTGGAATCGAGCTCAGCTCCTGAGAATTACATAAGCACTTTGCTTTCATTTTCTGGGCAACAATGTGGAAGTGGTTTACTCAGCAGAGTCCACGAGAGCAAGGGATCAAAAAGGGACAAATGTAGCATTGCATGTACAAAAGGTTTGGGGCTGTGGCTGTGATGCCACTTCCAACATTTTGCCTCTTTGTAACATGCTGGTCACTTGTAGAAACTGCTTTCTTGGGGGACTGTTCACACTTTTGATTAAATTACTCACAATTAAGATAAAATGGGGTTTTCTTGGGGATTACAAGACATGAATTCATTGTCCAATCATAACAGGAAAATTTAAATACAAGACTTTCTGGTAAGCGGCTTTGAGGTAATAAAGAAAAGAAGCAGTGGGCTTGCCCTAGACTTCATATATAGGTAGTTGTCTCAACTTATGACCATAATGGAGCCTGCCCATCACCGTCATAGTTGTGATGATCATAAAACAGGTAACCCACATGACCGGCCCACTTTTACAACCCTTTATTGCAGCAGTCATTAAGCAAATCAGTGATTGGCTATGGGCTGGTTTTGCCAAAAACTGGAAGTAAATGTCGATTTTCAGCAAAAGCATTGTGAGATGTGATCGCACAATTGTGGGACACCACAAACAGCTGTAAATGAGGGCCAGTTGCCAAACACTTGATGTGGTCACATGGAGCCCTGGCCTTCAGAACTGGGTCATAAGTACCTCCAGGGAGGTCTATTATAACTTTGGACAGTTGCTAAGCCACCAGTTATAAGACAAGGACTGCCTGTACTAATTTCTGTTGGTCCCCTATGCAGGTACAGACCAAATCTGACCCTGCTTAGTGTTTTAAAGGTTAAGTAAAGTTGGTGAGGTAATGCCACACGATGTCAAGCTGCTATACCAGGGCTTGGCAGTGAATCACAGATCTCATGACTTCATAGGGCTTCACATGACTCCTACGTGAGGAATTGGCAGAAATCTCATAGGCATGGCACAGCTACAGAAGACTGTTTACTGCGGATATATGAATGAAGCCAAAATGAAACCGTTGCTTGTGCTTTCCCTGAATAGCAATGGGTAGTCTTCTTGCATTTTACAATGTCATAAAACCATCATTTTTTCCCTGTCCTTTCCATACATTAATAGATTCTGCTTGGCTCTTGATAGGGATTGTGAATGTCTGCACAGTACTTGCCTAACTCCCATACAGTAGCTACATGGACACGTCCATCTTGTTTGCTTTGCAACAGTTTGGAAGTAGTTAGCTATTACCTTCTTCTAAATACACTTTTTAAAAAACTTTCCAGTTCAACTGAAAAAGGTTAGTGTCATTTAAAACGCCACCCTTGTAAATCCCATAGCTATGCTTGTTCTGCCCCTTCCCATGCCATCAGAAAACAGCACAGACTGGTTTGTGTTCTTCCAGCCTCATGTTCTGGCTCATAAATCCTACATGGTGGCCACCAAGTGTGACCAATCTTTTTTAACCATTGTATAGCTTAATAAAACACAACTTTTATCAAAAAAAAGTACATTTAAAAAATAACCCTAGTCAATTTCCCCATAAAATTAAAACAGGTATATAGGTGGAATGTTTAATTTGTCATTTAGAATTTAATCAGAAAGTCAGTGGTAGTTACAAAATAGTTTAATTATTAAATATATACATAGTTCTAACTTCAGTCCTTGAATCACAGTAGGCCAAAATCATGATTTTGTCTTTCCCTTGATATATTCAAGGATCCTTATATGGTCCCATTACTTCTGCCAACCTAGCAGTTAGAAAGCATGTAAACATGCAAGTAGAAAAATAGGGACCACTTTGGTGGGAAGTGGGCCTTCAGCATTTAGTCATGCTGGCCACATCACCATGGAGACATCTTCGGACAACACTGGCTCTTTGGCTTTATAACAGAGATGAGCACCGCCCCCTAGAGCCGGAAACAACTAGCATGTATGTGCGAGGGGAACTTTTATCTTTACCTTTAAGGTAGACATTCTGGATTTTAGCTTTATTCCAGCCTATGAAATTTGGATCCAGGATCTTCGTTATGATTCTACTCAATGATATCATGCCCACCTTTCTTTCTGATGCATTCACTCTAAAGCAGAAAGAAGTACGCCACTTGGCTAGTGAATAGCACACCTGACTAAGCTGAAACAAAATCTACACTTGAAAGCATCATTCAAGCAAATCATCTGTTGAGTTCATCACTGAGCTCAAAAGCCAGGGGTGCCCCTAAATGTATATATCTATGACCTAAACTAATACCACTTTTTTTTCAGTTGGATTGGGTTGGGGTTTTTCCCCCTTTTTTTGACCAAAATAAATGAAGTTGCTTGCACGTGCTTTAATTTTCTTTATTCTAATCATATCTAAATTTCTTCCATAGGATCCAAAGCAACACAAGTTCTCCTTCCCTATGAAGAAGCTTCCCAATGATTTTGTCAGAAAAATTAGACTTACAGCGTAGTAAGAAAAAAGGATCCACGTGCCTTATGATATTTCCAAATGTTCCATTTCCAGCATGTTCCAGAAAATAATTTTAAGAAATTTAATATAGTTTTTCTTAATTTATTAAGGAACACACCTAGTGGACAGTGCTTTAATCCCCAGTGGGTTTTTTTTCCTTTTACTAAGGATGTGACTAGTCCGGACACATGTTACCTCCTAAGTAAGATATGAAGGAGAACTTGTATTGAATCTGGGATCTTCCAAATGTATTGGGTCTGTGAACGTCAGCCAGGCTGATTCTGAGAATTCTGGAGGTTGAAGATCAACAGATCTGGTGTATCCAAAGAGCAATAAATCCAAGAAGGCTGCTGTAGCCATAAACCACAACCCACTCAATTGCATTCCTTCTGCTCTTGTGGATGATAAATTTTACTTGAAATCAGGAGGCTGCATTAAATGAAGAGGAATTGTCTTGGGCAATTACTAGTGCCCAGGGCCACATGCATGCTATGGGTTGGACCCACTTGCTTTAAATCCAGGGATCCCTCTCTTGGTTGTTGTAATACCACACCAACCATAATGGCTTGGTAGGGGATCTGAATAACAAAATTGTGCTGCAGAATGTCAGGAGCTGTCTTGTAAAGTAGCTGCTTCCTGCAATTTCTAGTTACATTTTCAATCCTGAAAGAATTGTACTCATATATTTAGCAAATACATGAATACTTGATATTAAATAAATAGATACAATGTGTCTTATGACCCCAGTTTCTAATCCAGCCTGTATCTATTGTTTTAAAACATTCATGAACTATTAATTACATGAAAGATACTGTATCTTATCCTCAAAGTACCATTATTTATTTGGATTTATTACAGCTACTCAGTTCCATCATGTTGAAGGATTGATGGAATAAACATTTCATCCAAAAGGCTTGCAACATAGTCATGTTTTGTCGCAATGAGTTTATATTTTAGCAATGGCAAATAAAATAGCATTTTACAACCTGGTGTTTGCAAATGTTTGGTTTACTACTGATAAGGATCCCAATCATCAGAGCAATAAATGATGGCTGTATATGAGCAACAGTCTTCCATTATGTCTTCCATTATGTGGTATTGGAACATTTTAGTTTAGGCCTCACTTAAGACTAGCAAAGGTAATAAGTCTGGACCTCTTCATTTTGAGCATAGAATGTATTCTTTGTAGAATATACTGTAGAAGTCTAGAGGTTAACATTCCCAAAGCACATGTGATTATCCTGTCTTGATCTGGCCACATTGTTATTTTAGTTTGGAAATATATTTAAAAGCAAAATAGTGTCAGTTTGTCATCAGTTGTGATGTGCTGTGGTACTCTTGGCACATTTGCTGAATCATGATTAATGTTAATTCATGTGTAGAGTGTCGTGCCTGAGCAATAATTTCTAATAATGCACTGGGCTGTAAGCTATTCACCATGACACCCAGCCATAATACCATACAACAATTGAGAAATTCCAAAATAGCAATCATACTGATTACTTTTGCAATTTGATATTATACTAACTAGTTTCATATCGCACAAAGTTGTGGCTTGCTTAGCGTATAATCTTTGACTGATTTCATGCTACATACTAAATGAAGAACACATCACATGACTTACTGTGATTTATGAACCCAGTTACCAGGGAGCATCTATCCTTTTTTATTTTAGTAAAGCAAGCCTCTGCTAGAAAAAGACATTAGAAGTTCTGCCTCCTTTACATAAGCCTTTCAAAATGCCTTCACTTCATTTTTAAAATCTACTAGAGAAGCAAGCATAAGCAAAAAGTACCAGCTTAGCACATTTATATATGAATAAAAGCCAGTGGTTTCAACACAACAGACATGTGCTTCATTTATGAATTTCAGTCAGCACACACATCCAACGAGCACAATAACACATCAGCATTAAACCTTTGTTTTCCTGAAACAAAAAAAACAGCTTCTTGCTCCAGGTAGAACTGTTAAAAACCTGATCTCTAAATACAGGTAGTCCTCAACTTACGACTTCAATTGAGCCCAACATTTTTGTTGCTAAGCGAAATATTTTTAAGTGAATTTTGTATGACTTTTCTTCCCACAGATGTTAAGTGAATCACTGAAGTTGTTAAGTTAGTAACATGGTTGTTAAATGAATCTGATTGTTGCATTGACTTTGCTTGTCAGAACGTGGCACAAGGTGATCACATGACCTTGGAACAATGCAAAATATGAGTCAGTTGCCAAGCATCTGAATTTTGATCATGTGGCCATGGGGATGCTGCAGTGGTCATAACTGTGAAAAATAAGTTACTTTTTTCAGTGCCTTTATAACTTTGAACTTTGAGGTGGTATTCATCAGGTTCTGACCAGTTCTGGAGAACCAGTAGTGGAAATTTTGAGTAGTTCGGAGAATCGGCAAATACTACTTCTGAATGGAGGCTTTACAGTATCCTTCCCCTGCCATGCCCACCAAGCCACGCCCACAGAACTGGTAGTAAAAAAATTTGAATCCCTGCTTGAACAGTCATTAACTGACTGCTTTGAACAGTCATTAAACAAACTGTTGCAGACTACAATATGTATTTTGAGATGAAGAATAGAACTAAAGTACTTAAACATAAGATTTATATAGCATGGTTCTAAGCATTGGATGCATTTAATGGATACCCATCCATTATGGGTGGCTGGATGAATTTCAATGAGCCAGATGTGGCAGGTCCCATCCTCCCCCAATTTATCTTAATCATAACCCTGAATAGAAACCCTTAAGATTGAGAGGCTAGATTTATACATTGTGCTAAGACTAAGTCCAATTAATAGGTTATCCCAAAGGAATTCCGCTACATAGTTTACACAATATTGCACACCACTATATGATTGGGTTTTTAAAAAATTTTTATTGGTTTTTAAAAACAAATATAAACAAACAAAACATAAAACATCAAGCTATCTTCCATAGGTGTAAATACAGTGTGCCGGTTGGTTTACAAATTGTTTTGTGCTTCCATTTCGTAGTCTTCAATTACAATTACATTACATATAATCTCATATTGTCAATCAAAAATTAAATACCTTAGTATCATTATTAATCAATCATTTGACTATACTTTTATTCATTCATGTTTTACAAGATAACCATAATTTACTTAGTTTATTTTATAACAGTTCATATTATCATCCCAAATCTATCCTAAAATCATTTTGTAGATATAATAAGAAAGAAGTACATCTTTATATGTTTATTATTTTCTAAAAGTCTACATATTTCATTACTGTATTTTATTGTCTAACCATTGATAGAAAAGATCCCAAATTTTATAAAATTGTTTATCCTCTTGTTCTCTAATTTCAAATGTCAATCTACTCATTTCAGCACATTCCAATATTTTCTTAATGATTTCCTCCTGTGATGGTATTTTCTCATTTTTCCAGTTTTTAGCAAATACAATCCTAGCCGCTGTTAATACATTTACAATCAGATATTTCAAGTCTTTACTATATATTTCAGGTAAAATTCCCAATAAAAATATCTCTGGTTTCAAGTCTATATGTTTTTTTGTCATTTTTTCCAACCACATGTGGATTTTAGTCCAGTATGTTTTAGCATCCGCACAAGTCCACCACATATGGTAATATGAGCCAGGTATCTGATGACATTTCCAACATTTTTTGGATTTATTCTTGAACATTCTTGCTATTCTTGTCAGGGGGAAATGCCACCTGTAAAACATCTTATACAAATTTTCTTTATATGCTGTTGACATTGTCATTTTATAATTTTGCGACCATAGTTTTTGCCATTTCTCTAAATCAATCCCATATCCAAAATTCTTCCCCCAAGCAATCATAGTTTCTTTAACTTGTTCTTCTTCTAGTTTAATTTCTAATAAATATCCATACAATTTTGTATCACCTTTTCATCATAATTACCTGTCAAAAGTCAATCAGTTTATCATAGAAACCATCCGTTTTAGAATCTTTATCATACCTTGAATGTATTTGCACATATGAAAACCAATTCATCTTTATAGCTTGTTCCTCTAGTTTTTGCATAGATTTAAGTTCACCCTTTTCATTCAATATTTCACCATATCTAACTGTTTGTTCCTTTTTGTATATTATAGGATATGAAAATGCTTCAATAGTCGATAACCAGACTGGAATTTTCAAATAACATTGTCTTTTAATCTTCTCCCAGTTTAACCACAGAGACTCCCATATATAATGTCTTCTAAAATACCCTTGTGTTTTAGTTCCTTTGTACCATAAAAAAGCATGCCACCTCAACAACAAATCATGTCCTTCTAATGTCAACAATCTAGTATTTCTTAGTGTTATCCATTCTTTAACCCACATCAGATTTGTAACTTGGTAGTACAACTCCCAATTAGGCAAACCAAATCCTCCTCTAATTCTAGCATCTTGCAAAAGTTTTAACTTTATTCTCGCTTTCTTCCCTTGCCATATATATTTCAACACAATTTTATTTAAATCTTCAAAGTAGTCTTTTCCAAGCCTAATTGGAATTGTTTGAAACAAATATAAAATTCTGGGTAATATATTCATCTTGATTGTTGAAATTCTATTAGTGACAGTTGTAAGTTTTCCCATTTCGCCAAATCTAGTGCTATCTGCTGTTTAAATTTAATATAATTATTCTCTTTTAATGTACTACATCTTGCTGTCAAATATATCCCCAAGTGCTTGATCTTATTCGTGACCTGAATTTTCAATAGGTCTGCCAGTTCTTCCTTTTGTCTTAATAAAGCCAAAAACCCAAATAGTTATTACAAAAAAAACGATTAAAAAAATACAATAAAGCTGGTGAGAAGGGATAGCACAACTTAGGAAAAGTAAAAAGGGCACACTGCATTTTGTTTAATTATCCAAGGCTCTTATTATAACTCTCTTCTCCAAAAACTTATCACCTTTTTCCCCCCTACGTTTCAACACCAGACTCCAGCTGTTGATAGAAACCCAGAAGAGCACCTGCAATAATACTCTCCCATGCTCTT